CCGCCAGGGCCCCAGCCCCCAACCGCCCCCGGGGCTGAAGGAGGCGCCTCCGGCCAGCGCACGCACCCAGGGGCAGGCAGGAGCGCTTGAGAGAACAAGCTGAAAGCTCGCCCTTAGGCAAAAGCAGGAGATGGAGACAAGCGGACCGTAACCGAAAACGAAAGAGGCACAGATTGTGGGCAGGCTGGGTGGGTGTTGGGGAGCCAGCTTCGGCCAAGGGTAGCCTTGCAGGGGAAATGTACCTCGTCCTGTTTAACCTGGTGAGAGACATTACCAAGAGAGAGGAGGTATTACGAGAAAATACTTCTTGGCTGTTTTGAATTCATACATAAGCTAGTAATGCTGTTTTAAAATGGTCCCACGAAAAAGCCTTATGAAAAATAACTTGAAGGGATCTTTGCACTTCAAAATAAAAAGAGTGTTAAAACTTAAGCTGAAGTCAATGTGGCATCTTTTCAGGAAGCCGCTAGTAGAGCTGTGACTCATTTCTGGAAGAAGGGCAATTTCAAACTTGAAACTTACCTTGATAGTTGAAGCGTAATCCACAATCCTTCTTTAAAAATGCAGACCCTAATGGGTTACTAACATAAAGGAAACGCTATGATCCATGTAATCATTCTGCAAATGAAAGAAGTAAAAGCTCCTGAGGGGACATGCAATTCTGCATGTTTAGAACAGATTTGTATTTCACTGTTCGACCACGCTACGGGAAGATCTATGGGAAAGTGAAGCAGCACAAAAGCATCGTGCATAAAAGTTAGGTTTTACATAAGCATTTTGACACAAGTCCCGAGTTTCACTAAGTTGTATGCATATGAAGTGCATTTAAAAAGCCTTTTTTAGACCGGAAGTGATGCCTAACCATTAACCACATAAAAAACTTTTTTATTTCAAGAGGGGAACCCCCCCCCAAACCCAAACATGGACGGACATACAGCTGTACCAGACTATTTCCTATTTATATCATTGATATCGGTTTGATCTATGATGAAGTGTCTATAAACAATACCTCACACTGCTCACACTGTGACTGGGCACTAACTGGTAAGTCTGCATGTATGACATCCTATGTTCCTACTCAGGAAAATGTGTAGATTATGAAAAAGCATGACCCTGTTGCAATAGAAAAGCCAACAGCTTCCAGTTTCTAAAATACTAACTCCTGCAAGCAGCAATCTAGCAACTCCATTTAGTAAAAGGACGAAAGGTCTAACCCTTCCCCCCCAGTAACAGGATTAAGCATTAGTAGCAAGAAATAGAATTCAGTAAGAAACTAAACTTAGTGTTTGGGGCCTTCCCCCTGCCCACATTTAGAGCCACAAACATCTAGCAAAATTGTTATTTTTAGTGCAGGTCCTGTTTAAAGAGGAGGAAGGAAGCACCCAAAATTAGAAAGACCAAATCAGTATGTAAACAGGTTGAATATTCTTAAGAACAAAAAAAAGTCTCTTAGCAAATGAATGGTAATATAAAAATTGTATCGTTCTTGGTAATGGATCTTACTTGTTCACGGTTTCCCATTTCTTTTCAGTGCGTACTAATGAAAACAACGATACTTTGTATTTTATACTCACATATTCCAAGTGATGCTGAACAGCAGTAACACAGAATGATTACCAGGAGACTAAGGGCGTGTGTTAGGTTAAGGTGTAAAGCCTCGTTCCACAGTAAAGCCCAGATCAACAACTAGTATATCCAGTTAGGTTGTACAAATACTGCTATTTCTCGCCCCCCCTGCACCACGTGTAACTTCTGAAGTACCTCTCCCCCACCGAATGGATCACACCATGGCATGCTGCACTGAGCACCCAGCGGTGAGTGCGCGTACTTCGCTAACTGATCTCGTTCTCAGTACACTCTTTACCTGTGCATTCATTAACACAACGCACACAGTGCGCATTAAATTGCACGTTCAGACCGTGAAGTGTTGTAATGTTGTCAAAAAAGGCTTTTTCTAGCCCATATTTTCCAAGTTTATGTTGAAATAATTCTGCTACTGCGTGTTGAAAGAGAAATGGTTAACAAAGGGAAGTTACTTTCTATATCAAGAGCCTTCTCAGCAGTATGTAATTCGTGTTCTATCCCCCAGCATCACAGGCAAATGTTATGACTGAGAATAACACTAATTTGAGTAAGAGGTAAACACTAGAAGTGACTTTATAAAGCAACATTTTGCATTCTGAAAGAGGAAAATTTGTTGAAGTACTTGCATGAGCCAAATCAGAGATGCTACAGTGAACATTCCTTCCTCCTTCCACTACTGAAGACAATCTCAACTTCTGCAAAGTTATTTTTTTAATATGCCACAACTGCTTCTAAATACTTATTTACCTGGATATTTAACACTCCATCTTAAATGTGGCTGTCTTCCTCACCAAGATGCCTTCAGTCTCCTTAGGAAAGGTACAGTACAAGCCTATGTCCAGTGCATAAATAATGCAACAGAAGAATATGCAACTTTAGTTTAGGGCAAGAGAAAATAAGCTGAAGTTTCACAACTTGAGCTTTCACTGAGGGATCGCAAGGACATTAGGCAATCTGTCACATCGTGGCATTACAACACATTCGTCACATTTGTCTTGTTTAACTACTACTACTGAGAGAGAGAATGCCATACTAGCAGGACAAAAAGCAATCATGAAGTTCACTCTCCCTCTTCTCTGTATTTACTACAAACAGAGCAAGTTTTGAATTTATTTTGAATGTGGAGAATTTTTGGTAAATGCTGATGCAAAACTATGGGGAGACTGGAGAAGTAATTTCTTAGGGTAACATCAAGTTGCAGGAAAAAAAAAAGAGGAAGGTTGCAGCATAGAAGTATGTAAGACAACATTCTCACACAAACTCAAGCACAACAGAAAAGTAACATCTGAGCATTACACTTCAAGTTAAAAAAAAGAACATTTTGTGGTGTGTGGTATTACAGGGATGAGAAAGAACACATTGGGATCGCATCTGCATTTGCAGGCTTCTGGTCACCTGACATCAAGCAGGAGGTAGTTTTAAAAAACCCCACCCCTAATCTGTGAACACTTGTTGATTCAGAAAGCAGTCTTAAATATAATTGCATGCTGCACAAGACTCCAAAAGAATGTCAGCCCTTAAATCAAATATATACATTTTTAATATCTGAAATATTTACATGGTGGAACCTTTACACGATCCCATTTGTTAAGAACAGTGTTTTCAAGTGTCCTCTCCAGATACAAAGAACTAGTGACTCAAGGTCATAGTTATGTCTTCTGAACAGGTCAACCTGTATCCTTCAGTTAAATACAATATAGAGATACTGCAACACCTTTACTTAATTTGTTTGCTATTAAGAATTGTGTTTAAAAATTAAAAATGTTTTTGAGACAGTTTGTTCCCTGGAACACAGTCCTCCTGCAATCAAAACAGCTCATAGCACATTATCGATTTGTCTTCTTACCCAGGTATGAGATAAAAAATGCAGTTTACAGTACATCTCATCATTTTTACCATATCAGCCTATTTATAAAAACCCATACAAACAAGGCAGGGAAATATCACCCTCTTTTTGTGGACAATAGACTGCTTACAGTAGAAAACAAAAGTTGGGTCTGGTTTAACGGTATGGATAAAAACAAGACTTCGGCTTTGAAAACTTATGGTTTAGTTTTTGTCAACTGCTATGGTCAGTTACATCCAAATGGGTATTTTTTTTTCCTAAATACTAAAAAAATGTTTTTAAAAATAATTTCTTTAAAAAAAAAAGCCATCTGATTCTTTTGGAGACAGAAGGGATAATAGGGAAGGGCTAAAATGAAATTGAGCAGAAGATACCCTAGGTTAAAAAAAAAAAACTCATTAAAGAGCACTTATTGAATTGAGGTCCTGCTCTTGTTTTAACTGAGCAAAGAATAAAAACCTGCAATTTGCACTTTCTAGGGAAAAAGCAGAGCATCTGCAGGAGATTTAAGTTCCCAGATTAATTAGTAATTCTAAATGGCCAACAAAGTTATCAAGACTACTGCTGGTTCACCTCAGAATGAAAAGTCTGAGCAAATTCCTCTTAGGGAGTCAGATGAGGGGAACCAAATGAACACACAAAGCTGTTCTGTGAAAGCAGCTCAAGCCACTCATTTTGAAATTGTATTCTGATCATTCCTTAAATAAAAAGAGGGAGACTATGAAAAAAAAAAAACACTGGTAAATTTGCAGTAAAATAATTTGTCTTCATCTGTAACTGATATAGTTCCACACTAAGTGCAAATGTTTTGCAAAACAGGGGCTTTTTTTCTTAATATTTACAAGAATCAGAGTAACATAAAATTACCAGAGAGCATGTACAGTAGCTGCAGGTTGTAAAACATACCGGTAATTGTACCTTGTGAATTATAAAGAGAACCAATGCAGGATTCAGATAACTAACTGAGAAGGGTAAAGGGGGCCTCAGAGCAGAGGACAAAAAAATTTCACATTTTCTACATAAAAAAATACAGGTCTCAAGTCTCTGAGAACAGAGAAAATTCAAAGTCTTT